ATATATATATATATATATATATATATATATATATATATATATATATATGTATATGTATGTATGTCATGCACTAATTTGTTGTGTTGAATATTTCTTTAATGAGTGGGATTTGCACTTTTGATCATCCCATCTCTCTCCCACCTTTCCTTCTTATACAATATGGCTAAATTCTGCAAGGATAAGAACAAGTTCAACAAGGCACCTTGTTCAGTATATATATATATATATATATATAGAGAGAGAGAGAGAGAGAGAGAGAGAGAGAGATGGCAAAAGCATTTTTGTTTGCAGGTTGATAGCTCGGAGGATGACAACATGAGTCGCTTTCTCACTCTTCTTCCTATACCTTTGTTTTCATCTCTCCAAAGTCCTTCTGCAGACGTAAGCATTTGCAAGGCCAAAACTTTGATGCTTTGCACCTCGTAATTTGTATTGTTTGTGTGTTCCTTAATGTGATGAAGTGGTTGAGTTTGGACAAAGTATGTTAGGAAGAAGAAAGTCCAGATTCCATAGTATGATGCTTAGACAAAGACTCCACCTTTTTGTGCCATGTTCATTCCATCTTGTTGTGGCATTGCTCTTAACGCTTGTTTGGATGATGACATGGTGCAAAACAAAAGTCTCATTGTTGCTGTCTCATATGCAAGAAAGACATTGTTCATTTGTAAGTCTGTGAGTGCAGCTTCTCCAACAATGATCAGAGGGTTGTGTCATAAACGACTCAGACATCAGATTAAATGCTCACTATAGGAAGGTTTAGATTGTAGAAAGCCTGGAGAAGAGAGCAGTTTGCAGTGTTTTCTATGCCCAATACATGACTGTCAAAATGTTATTTTTAATCTGATGGTATCAGAATAGCTGTTTTTTTCTTTCTTTTTTTTCAGACATGCAAATGAGGAAGAGAGAGAGAGAGAGAAGAAGAAGAAGAAGATTGGTGTTGGCTTTCTATGGCTATGATTCTGTTTAGTCCTTCAAGAATAGGACATTTCTTACAATGCCAAAAGTTATTTTTATGTTAGGGTTGAGAATCAATGTAAAGTCACTATTCTTTGAGGACAAGTATTCTAAGTATAGAGAGACTTTTATGTCCAACAAGAAAATCCTAAAAGTTATGATTTACCTAATGCATAAATACATCACATATATGCAAGTCTTAATGGGGGAAAATAGAAGAAAACATCATCAGTACTTGTTGATTTCTCTCTAGTAGATATAGAAAATTTATGTAGTTGTGCTTGAATTAGACTTTAACTCTAGTTTGATTTTGTATTATGAAAATTTTATTTTTTTTCCTCGTAAACATACGCAAGATAAGTCGAATCACATAAAACTTATATCGACTATTTTATTATTAATTTTTATTTATATATATATATATATATATATCGAGATCTTTTCGGATGCAACGAATATAGATTAGAGTTAAGAGACACATCATTGTCTCCCAAGAAACACAGGCTCTGATCTCTTTTTGGAGTGGCCAACATGAGATTGAAAGCCAAGTATGAAGTCAGATATCATTTTGGACTGTCCATGTCTCTCAGCCTCCTCCTCCTCCTCCTCCAATCTTGTAATTAGTCAGATAAAAGAAATATGCAGGCAAATTTCTGATGAATCCTAAACTTGTACGACTTTACTGCATCATAATCTCAAAAAAGAAGAAGAAGAAGAAGAAGAAAATAAGACTGGATGATGTGAAGGTCTGTTTGCCATATCACAAAAAGGCATGATAAGTTTGAACATGAACAGGACAGGTTTTGATGTGACATGGGATCTACTCTGATTCACTCAGTGGAGAGTGCTATAGTGGAGCTTACACTAAATGTAATCATCCAACAACAAAGGATATACATAATTTTCATGTCAGTCGTTTTATATAAAGAAAGAAAGAAAAAAAAATCACATGATAATGAAAGAATTAGAAAGTTGACAGAGAGATAAAGGGATGACAATTCATGATATAGTTTCTTTTTAGGAAGAAGAAAGAGAGTCACAAGAATCACACCGAAAGGAAGAAAGAAGAAAGAAAGGAAAAGAAAAGAGATGTTCTTTTGGGCGTGGAAAAAGAATGGTGGGCATGAAGATGCTTCGAAACCACCATTTATTCAAGGATAAAATAAGCATCTCCATCTCTATTATCTCATTCATGTCTAAAGAATGCTGTGTATCAGCTCTCAGTTTCGAACCAACCGACTGCTTTTTGGATTCTTGATTCCAATTCAAGCATCTCAGATCGACACAAATGCTAGAAAAGTTCAATCTATTATTGTTGTTATTTAACGAGTAAAATAATTATGAGGTTTGTTTTTTGTTTGTTTTTTTTTAATTCTAACTTTAAAAAGAATATAATTTTTGTTCTCCTAATATCTATCTATCTAATCTCAACTAATGAATGTTTAGACCAAAAAAAAAAGAGACCTCATCTTATAATTTTTTTATTTTTATTTTTTTGGTTTATTTATAACAGTAAACACGCTCGTACGTCTCGTCTCGATCTCTTCGATAACTACAATTCAACTAGAATAAAACTGAAATTAAACCAGAATCGATGATCATAAATGATTCAATTCTGATTCATAGATTTAAAAAACTAGAAGCGTCGACGATTTCATAATTTTATTTTTTATCATTTAATATAAGTATGATAACAATTTGACTCGATCGAAATTAAACCATGATGAAATCAAGAATCGAGATTCATTGATTTCGAATCAAATCGAATTATTCCTAAATCGAATCAAATCAAATCAAACCGTCGATTTCATAATTTAAAAATATTTTTTATTATTCTATTTTTTTTATATTTTAAAAAATTAAAAATTAAAAATTATCAATTTAATGTTAAATTTCTAACTTTAAAAAATAAAATTAAAATTCATCGATTTCAATATCATTTATGATCAGTCGGTCAGTCTCTATGGATGCACGAGAGACGCACCGACCGAGGATAAGATTCTCTCCACCACCACCTTTCGTAGTGCCCGAAGCAAATCTTCTTTTTCTTGGCTTTTCTTCTTCTACCTAAGTCTTATCCACTAGATTATGCTGATACGATTAAACTATGCTGGTGGCTTTCAACGAGTGTCGGGTTTCAACTTGTAAATTTGCATTGAAAATATCGCATGGTCAAAGATAATACAAACAAAATATATTATTATTATTATTATTCGAAGCTTAGTTTGGTCCTACGATTTAAAATATCATCCCAACTAGTCAACTTCAATTGAGAAGCTCTCATTGGTCAAAAAGGATAAATTATATTTACTTACTTTGGTCCGGTCCGACTATTTAGAATTGTCGTGAAGACTTAAAAAAAGTAGTAGTATGTCAAACTCAATAACAAAAAAAAAAAAGCTTAAAATAGTCAACGTTGACATACTTTCGAAAGCAAAATGGCAAACGTTAAAGAAAACTATTCCATGATATGTTTTATTCAATACATTTAAAAAAAACTATCATTAAAAAATAAAACTTCCAAATTTGCTTACTAAAGGTTTTGT